AAACCCTGTGCCTTGACAGCAACACCACAGTGGGAGCTGCTTTGAGTCAGCTCCACCAACAACTTCTAATGACTCCTGACATCTCCTGTGCATTTGCCCACCTGATGGTTGTGCTGTTGGCTTATTGGGTTAAGAAAGGCAGGATTTTCTCCTGTTCTTTGAGGGCATGAAGATTCAGATGTATGGATGTGCCTCATATCAGCAACAAAGCTCTGCTGCAGAGGTCAGTGCACAGGTATGTATTTTAGAAGAGCCTTCTAAAGCCAGGAAGCCAGATGGAACTGCCAGCTACCCCACCTCTGAATTTTGTGGCCAACTAATACACCTACTTTTCTAACTCAGATCCTCCCATGCAAAAGGCCATGTCATATCTGATGGGGCTGCCTTGGAGCAGACATGGGAGCTGCTTGGCTTCTGTTGTGGTCTAAGGAATTAGTTTGAAACTCCTTCTGTTCCTGGGGATGAAAGTGCCAATTGACATCCAAAAAGCAATAAAAAAAAAAGGAAATGAGTGCTCACAAAGGCAATAGATAGGCTTCAATTTAACATCACTATGAATGTCTTTGGTTGTAGGTTCTTTCTAGTTTATAACTTTATAATTAACAACCTGTAAAGAAAAAGCAACACACCTGCAGAGCTTTAAATAATTTTTTATGCTGCTTTTCTTTTTTGTAGCTGTCTTTTAATAGTTCTTTGAGACATATTCTGGAGTATATCATTACATAAATTCCTAAGACTGAACTAAAACATAGTCTTTTTTAAAAATTAAACTTGATATCAAATTTTCTTGAAATCTGTCATCTTAAAAATATAGTGGTGTTTCAATTTAGCTGAGATATATTGGAAGAAGAGAAGAACCCTGTGTTCAATTTTAATGTGTTTTTCAAGGTCTACTGATGTTTTCTACATTTGTTTTTAGCTGGTAAAAGGAAAATGAGAAAGGAAAAGAAAGTTGATCTGGGTGAACGGTTCATAAAATTAGTTTGAACTTGCCTAAACAGAAATTTTATGCACCCCAAACTTCATTTTTCTACTGTATGTTCAAGTCTGACTTTCAGCTACACTACTTTTTCTTTTTTCCCTGTATTACTCTAAAATATTATTACTCTTCATATGATTACAGAGAATAAAATGTTTCCTTATTATTACAGCAGTTTTTCTTTCACACTACTTTAGAAGAAAGTCAACAGAGCCACAACGATGTGAAAGAAGTATGAGAGAGACTAGGCTTACTTACCTCTCGGTAACTAAAATTACAATATGGATGGTTGTTAATAGTAAAGAGAACCAATAATCTCAGCCCTATTCTTCCTCCTGCACACAGAGCTAAGCCTGACAGTTTCAAGAGAAGATACATTCTTCTAGTATATTCAACTCCCCTAAAAGTTCAGGAATCCTTTTTGAGTTTAACTCACAATTTTTTTTAGACTGTCTCTTAACAAAGCAACAGCACAAGCAATATGAGCTGGCAGTTTGATTACAGAAACCACAAGAAGCTGCCTGTGGAGATTACCCACACAGGCATAATCCCTGCAGATTTGCATGGAATTGAATCCACCTGCAATGTTTGGCAGACATTGTCCACTTCCTAGAAGTCTCCCAGACCTAACATTTGCTAATTTTTTTTTTAAGATATTTACCAAACATATACAATTACTGAAATATTTCTATTCTAGGAATTACAATTGCCTTGTAATCACCTTCATTAGAAAGGTGACAGGACAGGGGGTAATGATTTTAAACCAAAAGAGGGTCAATTTAGACTAGATATAAGGAAGAAATAATCTTTGATGAGAGTGGCGAAACACTGAAACAATTTGCTTAGAGAGGTGGTGGATGTCTCATCCCTGAAGGTGTTCAAGGTCAGGTTGGACAGGGTTCTGAACAACCTGGTCTTGTTGAAGATGCCTCTGTTCATGGTAGGGGGGTTGGAACTAGATGATCTTTAAGGTGCCTTCCAACCCAAACTATTCTACAATTCTGTGATCTGTGTGAAAACCATTTTATAAGTGCTGTATCAGAGAAAGCAAAGACAATGCTTGTCATCATTATTTTTAAACAGAGAGAAATAAGAAAACATTATCAGATAAAAGAGGGTTAACAAAAATAAGCAGAAGATTCATTAATGAGATTAGTCCTCTGTAAATGAGGATAGCAGTCCAAGTATTAAAATAAAACCTACATAAATGGAAGGGAAGGTGGCTAAGAAATCTTTTGTTCTGATCCAAATGGATAAAAATATTGATTCAATGCTGACAAAAGAAAGTGTTTCAAAGATATGGTGAAGGATATACAGTATTCTCCTACTATCGAGCAGGTTCTGGACAAAGATGTGGTATTTGGATAAAGTGGTTTATGAAGGACATTGAGATGGGGCAGAATGTACAGCAAAATTATAGTGCTGTTTTTTTCCGGTGTTGATTGGTCTTGCCAGTAACTTCTAAAATAATTCTGAAAATCTATAATAGTGCTGGCAATAGGGGACTGCTCAGGACCCAAATCAAAGCCTTTGGCAGCTCATTGGACACCTCAGCCTTACTTTGGACAGCTCAAAGATAAACATGTCAGATGATGGTGACTATCACAAGAGTGTGTGCCACCCTCCTCAGGTGACTACAGCCCCAGCCCCGTGGGACAGCTTCCCATGGTGTTCAACTCCATCTGACTGGGCTGAAGCAGTTCTCTGAGATGAGACTATACATAAAGAATGCCTCAAAACACAGTCGCTATCTTTTAATAGTAACTCGGCTCTCCTGATATTTTGATATTTAATGAAGAACATTCAGACTTAGTTTAGTAAACATCTCTAGTCCCAGCCTCAGGATTCAATCAAAGTGTGTTTGTTTTTTTTTTTTAACAAACACCACTGGAAAGCCTGGAATGCTTCACTTCCACTGTCTGTGATGAGAATTTTATCCTAACTAGTTTGCAAATTTTCCACCAAAGAACATCTGCTAAGGGCAGCATAAAACATTCACGGCATGATCAGGGAGAATGACAAGCACATTGGTAATTCATCACTGACATAGTGGTGACGGCTCTAGTCCTACAGTCTAACCACATTTCCGAAAGGAAGCAGGTGGATATAAACCAGCAAAAAGCCTGAAAGTGAATCCTGGGAGGAATCACATGCACTGACTGTGCAGCCCTCAAGCTACCAAGTTACCCAGGATGACAACATGGCAATGGTTTTGCAAAAGGACTTGAGCCAACTTTAAACAACGATGGATAAGTCCACCTGCTCACTCTCCAAGAGACTCTCTCCACATATGCAACCTGTCAGCATATTCAACAATCTAGAAGTATACTTGTCTCATGGCTATGGTATTGGTTAAAGCACCAAGTCAGTCCATCCCTTCGCTGTCATCAGCAAGCAGTAACACACAAAAGAAGAAATGTTACATGATTGTAGGGGCCCTTCAGGTCAGCATTCTCGCTCTCCAAAACCCTCAGGAAAACACAGCCATCTGACTGCAAGCAGTCAACACTTCACATTAAGTACCTATCTAAAAATGATTTTAGTCAAAGGTGATTTTTGCCCTCTTTCCTACTGGTAAAATGTCAAGCATGCCTGCTCGCAGAAAGTGATGAGCACAAGTGTGTAAGGGGGAGAGAGAACGAGAGAAAGAGAGAGAGATCTAGAGAAGCTTGGGCAATTTCATTTATACTCATTAACTGAGGAAGATGCACTCTCCCCTGGGATATTACTACAAAATGGTGACTTCAGAGGCAGCAAGAAAGTCTTAGTTCTCCTGTCACTAAGGTTGGACATCTGGCCAAGGTGCCACTTCTTACCTGAGTAAGCCTGGATCTGGATATCCATGCCCTGAAGAGAAGCTGAACTCCACCTGCATTCCTGAGAAGAACTTTGGTTATGCAAGCCCTTTCTTTCTTTATAAAAAATAAAGAAAATATGAGCTTGAAACTTTCCATGACCGAAGTCTGTTGACTATAAGCACAGGGGAAAGTACATGCTGTACATCTTGGCTGCATCCAGACTTGCATTTGCTCCAGTCTGGTCTGTGTATGTTCCTTTCCAAATTATGGTACTTCAGAATAGATATATTGAATATTCACTGAATATGCACTAGAGTTGACGTGAAGTTATGCAGATAATTAGTTGTCAGGTCACTTAGCACAGGGTGAATACTAAAATACACAGTCTTCACAAATTTGAAGTAAAACCCTGTAGTTTGCTAACAGTAAAGCTCTTGGCAAATGCCCAATGCTTCTTTTTAAGCACTAATAACATTTCAATGAAGCTTTTTGGTATCTAGATGGACAGAAGAGGATTTTTTTTAAATGAGAAGAAAATTATGATACTTATTAGCTAGCAACGCTCTAAAAAATCAATTCTACTCTCTCAAAGTTATGACTTCTCAATACAAAAAAATGAAACCTTTTAAATAATATTGATTGCTATCGTTAAACTGTGAAAGAACAGATTATCTACTCATGCAAATAAGGAGAAAAATAATTTCCAAATTCAGAAGAGTTATACAAAGAACAATTCTACCCTAATGTAAGAGCTTACAAAGAATATGTCATTTATATGTTTTCTTCAATATTCTGCAAGGAGAAATCAAACTACGTGCTACATCATGGGGACTGCATTACAGCAACATTTTTTTCAAAAATATTCCAGGGTCTGCTATGGGGCTTAGATTGTGTGATATTTTCCTCTAGAACGCAGATGGTGACACAGAATTGCATCCTTGCAAATGATCCTAGAGTAAGTTGACTAGCTTGTCCTCCAGCAGATAAAGGTTGGAGAAACCACTTTGGAAAACCTGGAGCATCTCATAGGGTTCAACAAGTGAAATTCTCTGTACCAGGCAGAATTACCCACTGGGGGGTGACTGGCTGAGTAACGGCCCTGCTGGAGAGGACCTTGGATAGTGATGGACATTGAGTTGCAAATAATTTGCAAATAAAGCAAAAAGTACACTGGGCTTCCTGAAAAGGAATTTGGGTCTTAGGTCACAATAGTTACTACCCACCTCCACTTGGTACTGGTGAAGCTTAAAAATGGAATACAGTGCCCAAGTTTCTGTCCCCGTTTAGGAGTTATCCTGAGAAACTGGAGAGTTCAGCCCAAGGCTGCAGAGATGGTCCAGGACCTAGAGCATGGGACACGAGATATCTGAGGTTGCTTGAGCTGGGGAAGGAAAGTAGCATCCTATGACTACCTGAAGGGAATTTGCAAAGGTGATAGAGCCAAATTCTCCTTAATAGGGAAACAAGAACAAGGCAAGGAGGCAACATCCTTGGTTACACCTATCCAGCTGACCTAGCCCCATGCTGGCCACAAGTTTGTTTTGACAAGGAGATTGGACTGAACACCTCATGAGGCTTGTTTTAACCACAATTTTTTAAATTTTCCCAGTATACTATCCTAACATAATAGTTTTCTAACATATACAGAGGATTGCTAAAGTTTATGATAGCCCTCTATCACAGTCAGATGCAGCTTCATCGTTAAGGTAGTTAATTCATGACTAACATGACATTTTTATTTGGGAATGGTTAAGCTTGATTTACTCTGGCACATAAACATTACTCAATGAAAAATATTAAGAATATTTTTCACACATATTTGAGACAGTTATTTTAAAAATTCTCATGTAAAACATCCACAAGAAATCCTGAAATAATCAAATTCTTTTTAGAAGCTCAGTTTAGTTGCACTGAATATTCTCCAAATCTCTTCCAATTTGTGGCAAAGAAAGATAATGACAGGAACTTTAATAGCTCTGGTGTGAAGCCAAGTGAAACTAAGTAGTTTGAACCAATACGTTCAAAACATGAAAAATCAATTCCAAAAAAGTGAACATTCACAACTGAAAGAAACCTTATAAGAACAGCTGCTAGTGTGGACCACAAGGTTTTCACATGACTAATTAATTTTAAACAAAAATTATTCAGAAGCTATTACATACAAATATGAGAAATGTTCTTTCTCTCCTATATAACACATACCCATCCTATTGGTCCTGCCTCCTTTCTCCTGAATTCTCAGCTCTCTGTAAATTCATTTGTTATGGAGAACACCAAAGAGTAGTGCTTCTGCTGATAGCTACATGAAATTAAGAACTCCATTGACTACTTAGCATTTTTCCTACTTTGAATTTGGATTTCCTGAGACACATGAGTACTTAATAACAAAATACAATTATTTGTTTAAATTAGAGTAATTTTGATTGGAGGCCAGAATAATAGAGGAACCAGTTTGGCTATGACTTTTGTATATGGCTTAGACCATAAAGTTAGGGAAGAAGTAACATTTTGTGAGGTGACAAATTATTCTGCTCATTAAAAGAATATGATTGGAGAGTACTCAATATTCAGGTAAACCCCCCAAATAATAGAGTTTGCAAATTTTCTATAAATTTAAATGCTGTTAACACAACATTTCTAATGAATACTTAGAGAAGCACCACTTCAATGTACCTCAAATCTGTTCACATTCCAATTTTAAATTAACATGCAATAAAGAGAGCAGTGAGCTTTCCTATCAGTGCAGGAGGGGATTTCAGGTTTCCTGAATTAGTGGTTCATTGTGCTTTGTTATGAAAACTCTACCATGTCCTTTCCTGTGAGCCAGAACTTTCTTTAAGACCGTTGTCACTTACATTACAACTGAATTTCAGTCAGTTCAATTAGGAAACAAATAAATTGTACTGATGTGCAAACAACAAAACTGAAAAGTAGTGATTGGTGTAGTAAGGCACAGTCCTTTGCACAGGAGCCTTTTACAAAGTAAAAATGACTAAATTATAATCTCAGAAATTGCCTCTTTTAGTATAACGCTCAGTGGTCAATGGGAAGCATTCTGGGAAAGCTCCATGCACTACTCCCACTCTTCATGCCATTTTCACTGCTGAGAAGACTAACTTGTTCTGTTCTTTCTGAGTGTGTGGCCCTTACTACTGATGGGTTAAATCTATGGCACTGCTCTCAAGGGCTTTAAGGAGGTAAAAGAGATAAATTTTGACTCTGGTTCTGCAGCATGTGTCTGAGCTCACGCAGGGTGGCAATTTAGCTTTACTCTGACAAGTGGATATTTTAAACAGATTATTCAATCCATCCAACCAATTAAAGCAGAAAACCACAAGAACAAAACCATAAATTGCTATTCTCATTGTGTGAGAGTTACTCACACAACGGCAAAGAGCTTTGGAGAAGTACCAAGGACAAGCTAAAATAGTGAGCCTGTAAACCCCAGAAGGAGATGAGCTTGTGAGCTATCCCAACTGATACAATTCCTGCAGTGCTGCACAGTGAACTGCTAGATGCAGGATCACAAAAACACCCAAGTGATGGGTCTGTGATGAAGCAAAGCCTTTCGACTTTGATGATGAGAGAGCAGAGAGCAAGACAAGGGAGACAAATGCCAGTTCCATTGCTGAGTAATATGAAGGCCAATTCACGGAGAAGAACTGGGAAAGACTTCCATAGGACAAGCCTGTCAGTCATGTTAGTAGGAGTGGAGATGTTTAAGTTGGTTCAAGGGAGAAGAGATAAAATAGAACAGCAAAATAAATAATTTAGCTCAGTGGCAAAAAGTTTTTTTAATATCACATTTCAAATCTTTGAACTATTTTGGCAACTTCTTTGGCTTATTTGTCACTTGTCAGACAGAGAAGAACTTATCTCCATGGCAACACTTTATATAAAATATAGGAAGCAGAATCTACCTACCTAGCTATCTCAACATCTAAGCTTATTAAAGCTCATTAAATGGTTACCTATAGCAAGAGGAGAATAGGGACCTGGACCGGAGCATTTGTTCAAGGAAAATAAAATACACTAGTAGATACCGACTAGAAATAGAATATTACCTACATTTAAGAAATTGAAAACAGTATCCAAAAAGATTTTTAAATAGGAACAGCTTTCTAGGTAAGAGAAGATCTGCAGGTCTGCTCAGTGCTCTAAAAGTAGTGTGTAATGTAGAGAAATGAGATGCTGAGACACTTTGTGTTGCTCAGGAGGTAAGATGGGAGGAGCAGAACAGGGGGAGTTTTCTGAAATGGAATCCAGGCAAAGGAATGAAACATACAGTGATTAAGAAAAAAAGTGGTCGCAGGGACTCGGATTAGCAGCTAAATTCTTCTGGTGGGGGTGTGACTTAAACTCAATTAACTTTGATGGGAGGACATCTAGCACTTACAGGAATGGACTCATAAATCAGGTGAAAGCTGGGAAAACTACACTAAGGCAGCTCTAGAAAGAATAGCTCATATACAGTAAACTCAAAAGAGGTCTGAAATCAATGGACTCTGGTTTTATGCAATCATACAAATTAGTTTTAACTACACAATTTCTGTACATCAATCAAGTCATCTATCCAACACCTTTTCTTCCTGTTATTCCTGCAGTGGAAACTACTATGTGCAGTTCAGGAAGTTATTCAGCTCCTGGTCATTGGGCAGTGACAGACAGTTCAGAGCAGCAGAAGCTCTGCCCTCATGTCCACAACCAGCCATTGTCAAAGACACAGAACTGAGCTCCTCGTACCTCTGCAGAGAGCCACAGGGTCACCCTTACTTTTTTACAGTAAAAATAGTACTCACAAATCTCAGTCTCTTTTCATGTACAAGACCAATATTTCTAATGTATATGTTCGCTTTTATGTTACAAAGGAGTACTGCTGGAGTTTTCCTCTGTAGTCTGTACATTAAAAGATCAGTTCGAATGTTACTATGATGAGCTGCTTGCTGACAGTTGCATACCTGAGGTCACAGATACTCCTTCTGCTATTACAAGTGAGTATTCCCCACTCAGATGAGTGTTTGTGGCTTGAGCCCAGTGAGCCAAAAGCCATCAATTCTTGTATTGCTCTCAACCCACATCAGACAGTGAGTGGTGTGTGCTACAAAGGCTGCTAAATAATTTGACTTTCATAGAATCATAGAATCGATCGATTGGGTTGGAAAAGACCTCCGAGATCATCGAGTCCAACCCTTGGTCCAAATCCAGTCCATTTACTAGATCATGGCACTCAGTGCCACGTCCAATCTGCGTTTAAAAATCTCCAGGGATGGTGAATCCACCACCTCTCTGGGCAGCCCATTCCAATGCCTGATTACTCTCTCTGTAAAGAATTTCATGTTCCTTCAGTTAGCATTTGGGAAAAGGTTTGCTTAATCTGTTCTTATTTTGTCCAAACTATTTTGCATAACCATGGTATCCACGAAACATGAAAATTAATTAATAACTTTCTCTGTCCACTTGGTTCATTTTCACATGTTTCATTAATGAAATATCTTTAGACTTCCTATCCAGAGTAGGCATCAGGAGATAAATGAATGTACTAAAATGAAGGAACAAGGGCTTGTTCAAAAGTGTTCATTCTTGTTAAAATCTAACCGATCAGGAAAGCAAAGAGAATAAATGGAACAAAGGCCTGATAGAAAGCGAATCACACTTCATCTGTTCTTGCACCTTACAAACTGGTGCTGGGATTCCAATCACAAGGAAAAAATTATTTACATTAGTCCTCTAGAGAGATTCCATCACACCTTGTGGTGGGAAACACAGAAGAGAAATGTAAAGCAAAATAGGAATGAATAGTAGAGATACTTCAGTGGTTTTTAGTCCCACTCTGCTATGGGGAAAATAATTTTGGAGACAGCAACCTCAGAGCCCCAGCTATACTACTATTTTAGGAGTTGCCAAGTTCACCCAAAGCTATGCTATGCTTTCCCCGGCTCGTGGCTGCCAGCTGCAGCAGCATCTCTGAGACAGGTCTTCCCAGGTGTGTTTTTTACCAGCCATTCTATGTTGCAGCTCAAATGGAGCCTGAGTAATTTACTGTCACTCATACATATGCTTTACCATTTGTGCTTTGTGCATTCCTCTGGTACAGCGATACATATTTGTGAGCTGGGTATCTCACCTTTCAGACTCTGCTGTCTGGCACTCACAGCGGCTATTAAAAGGTAGGCTGAAGTCAGAGTGAACCCATTATGCCAGAATAATTTTCAGGAATAAGGACAACATTCAGTGCTCTAGTGATCACTCCAATTAATCCTGGCTGCAACAGAAAACCTACTCATCAGATTAAATCAATACTATTGTAAGACCCTTTTGGTCCTTAAACGCAGCTGGCATTACATAATATGTCCCTGTATAGACACAGTTCTAGTCAGGAAAAATACAACCTCTCTTTGCTTTAAATCAAAATAATCACGCAATCACTTTGCCAAAGCTCAGTCTTATTAGGCAGGAGCAATGTAAGAGTTACAGCTACTATATTTTCTGTGTCTGTCTATAACAGTTTCATGAAATTCATCTGTCTGAACAAGAAAATTTTGACATTGGGGTCTCAGAAATGTAAGTCATTACCAGATGCTACTGTCATTTTTCAGTGTCATTGCAATTTATTTAGGAATCTTTATATGACCATATTAGTACTTACAGTAGTCTGCAGACTGGTGGAACAATATTGCTTTTCTCAGCTTTTCATAGGTGCTTCTCTATGGTATAAGTCAGGAGCCAGTATATCCCTGAAAGATTTTGCCTAAAGGACAGCAGTTTGATGGAGCAGGGAGGCGCGACAAGACACTTTTTTTTTTCCAATTGTCTTCCTTCAGCTTCTAATTTGTTAAAGGAAAAATGCCAATATTCTTCAAAAGTTCCAAGATAATTTCTTCCTATTTTAAAACCAGCTATATGACACTTCAAAGGAGTTCTCTAAAGCTGATAACCTGCAGGAAATGACAGCAGAGGACTAATGAGCTGAGCTTTTTTTTTAAAAAGAGGTGGATTTCACCATTGTTTGTGGATTTATGCAACAGTTCAATCCCATTTCATCAGACCAACTAATGTGTTCTGCTCCCTCCCCATCAAAGCAGAACAAATGGTACCTTTTCTTAAGTGTGTCCTGAACTGCACAGGGAACAGCAGAACAGGGAAGAGAAAACGTATTTGGATCTAATGTACTCGACACTACTATAACAATGAGATTCTAATATGACAATAAATTATAAACACACATAACTTCAACCAATTTAAAATAGTAAGGCTAGGTTATATACAAAATCAGTAATTATTAAATATAAGGATGTGACCTTCAGGATGACCATGTGAACCTATGTACGATGTGTTTCTTCAAGAGCATTATGCTCTTAAAGCTCTGATGTATAAGCATGGGTGTCTTAGAGAATTCAGATATGAACCCAGAAAGACTTGTGCCTAAAAAATATCCATTTTTTGTGTTGCTGATATCTAACACATACTAATCTGCTCAACAGGTGTTGTGTAACCAGTGTAACAGTGAAGCTATGTTGGCAAACACAGACCACTTACGTTGGCAAAGAAGACAACACCACAGGAATAAGTGCTGGCCTGGGCATCTAGGAGGATTCACTTAATGTATTTTTGGGGTGAGCTACCAGAGCTACCATTTCTTAGCTATGTTGCAATGCCTAGGTCTAAATATCCATGTGATGTTCTATGGCAGGGTGATTTGTAGAGCTATAGAGAAAATGAAGAGATGCTACATATATGTACTAAAGGGATTTTTTTTAAATATGTATGTGGATAAAACCCTTATTTTTCTAAATTGCTTTAACCTCAATATTTTCCAAAAAATATTTCTTCACTGACCCAGGATAAAATTTTGGAATATTTTTTTAGTCCAAAAATAAAGACTGAAGTCTGTTTACCTTGCTTCTAAAAAGCTTTATTTACAACCAGTGTAATATGTAGATTTTCTTACAACGAGAACTCACGTGAGTTTGCAATTCTCCTTTTCATAAAAATCCCAAACATACATCTTGAGATTTGTTTGGGTTTTTTTATGTACGTTTGTAATTTCAAAATTGACTATGGCTCTTATTTTTCCCTGGAATACATTTTCAGAACAAAAGTCAAAATATTTTCCAGAGAATTATAGAATCATTAAAGTTGGAAAAGATCTTTAACATCATTAAGTCCATGAATACAAACTACAGAAATCATCTCTTAAAAACTCTTTGTGCTTTTAAAAATTATCCTGCTTTAGCAGAAGAGGCCTCCTCCTGTAGCAGGGAGCTTGGAACTACGTGATCCTTAAAGTCCCTTCCAATCCAAACCGTTTTATGATTCCATGATAAAAACATTCTACAAATAGTGATGTTGCTGTTATACAACGTCATTAAATACCACATAAATACAATATGATCATTAGAAAGACAGTTCTAATATCCTTGAAAGTACTCAGCCACATAAAGAATGGTCAATACTTCGATGCATTAGCCACTAATTAATCTCAACTGTTATTTTGAGGAACAGAACACTGACATTGCCACCACACTGAAGAGAGCAGTATATATCAGAAGAACATGTTGGTACTGTGTTTCTGTCCCCTCCAAAAAAAAGAGTTTAATAAATAATGTGCTAATTTCTACAATGTACTTCCACTAGTGTCCCTAGAAAAATCACTGCTTTAAGTCCCTATTCACAGCGCATCAAAGTCAAAATCTTTCAACACGAAGAGCCACAATGGGGCTCCCTGAGATGTCAGAAGAAAAGCAGGTAGGACTGAGAAGTTCTCAGTGGAGTCAGTTTGGGAAGCTCACTCCTGAGAAATTTGGTCTCTCAGCAGTGGTCACCCTGCCAAACTGGTCCTCCCTTTTGGGCACAGAGGACTTACTCCTTCATTTCTCCTAATTTGTTTACTGGGAGATATCCAAAGCTGGCACCACTGCCCTGCCACTGCTGGGATTGGATGGCTCAGGTCTCCCTCCTGTCGGTGGGCAAGGACATCACCTTTCACCTTGCACAACACTAGCCAGTCCAGATCCAAACCCAAGGTGAGCAAGGACAGGAACATCCAACCCATCACTTGGATGGTGCTCAGTGCTGCCTGTGCAGCACCTCACCCTGGGCTGGTGAAAGTATGGTAAAAGATTTTGTTAAGAGTCCTACACAAAGAAGTACAAGGTCTTTCTTTAACAAATATGTTACACTTTCAGAAAAAAATACTAGTTTTCTCCAGTCAAACCAGATTAATTTTTCTTTAAAGCTATTTCAGTTTGCTCAAGGCATCTTAAGTACCGTGTGTAAATGAATTAGGAATGACAGTTTCTCCAGTAAGGGAATAGGTGACCATGTTCTTTTCTTGTACAGTACATACTTTGTGAGAACAAAGAATAAAAGCCAGCATGTTATCAGTATGCATGTTATTTAAATGGTTCTCTTCCCTTGCTTTGTGAGAGTTTAACATTCCCAATGATGTGTGGAGAAAGACTTCGAAACATAAAAATGGGACTACAGATAACATAAAATTACTTCTCAGCAACAAATGCACATCTGCCATTCTATAGCTGTGCTAAGTAAAGCACAGTGGAATTTTACAAACAAATTTACAGTGTGTCAAAAGCTTCAGTGAGAAAGCAGATATTGAGTAATGCTCTGTAATAACAGTACATGTCTAAGGGTGCTCTACCTGTATTGCAGGACAACTACTGCTGCACAGGGGTGCAAATCTTAATACCTTAAATCAGACATACACTTATTTGTTCAACAAAATTTCCTGCCATCTTCTTGTAATTCTATGACCTTTTTTATGCCTTTGAGAGAGATTCAGCAATTAAACAAGACTTAAGAAGTCCTAACAGAGTGGAATGTTTTTTTCTAGGTAAAGGAG